GATAATTGAGGCTCTTGATCAATATAAGACTCTCCCTATTCTAGAATAATCTAAAGGTCTTGTCATTTTCTGTGACTCAAAAGCAGCCCTACAGGTAGTTAATTCTAAATGGAGGTTCGTGGATTACTGAAGAGATTTACTCTCGCCTGTTTAGATTACAGGAGTTGGATAAAGTCTGCTTCCTCCAATGGTTACCTGCACATGTTGACATTACAAGCAATGAAAATGCAGATAAAACGGCAGGGGAAGCTAGAAGTCTTAATAATGACAACTTTGTCTACATTACTTTATTAGACGCAAATGCTGTCACAAATTTCAAATTCAGAAATAAGTCAATTCCTGTAAAGCATGGATGGACAGACTTTTTCAGGGCACGGGCTACTTTTAATTTTTTTCAAAATGCTGCGGCCCGCCTAGCGTTAGGGTGTGTAGTTGTAGGTGCAGTGAGCTAAAAGAAAGTATACAATACAGTCGGACCTCCATTTTACGAGCTTCTATTTTACGAATTTCTCTATTTAGCCAACTTTTTCCTCGAACCAAGAACATTTTTCGATTTTCTTCGTAAAATTACCTCAAAATAGTGAAGCGCATTTTCTATTCAACGAAATTTTCTCTTATGGTTTGTGACGGATCTATACGCGTCTATAACTAACCCCTTGGGGACTCTTCTGGGGAAATATTTTTGCCAACCAACTTTCACCGAAAGAAGTAAACGTGATTTTGCAAATTAAATATATTATATAAATTCTGTATTCGCGAATTTTAAAGTTAGTTGGTGAGTGGAGGAACGTGAATTTATTAAGTGCAAATCTAAGTTTATATTGAAGAATTCCAAGAAAGGATCACTCGGAGGTGATCCAATCCAGTTAAAGATTAACGTTCAAGGCCTCAACAGTAGCACTTCACAAGAGTTCAGGTACCGTGATCCTTATTTAAATAGAAGTTTAGCTTATTAGTGCGTGGCGTAGTTGATATTGAGCTTGTATAAGTTATCGTGGAATCAGTTGAGGGTAAGTAATATTATCCCCAGGCTAACGAGTCTCACTTTCGCACTCTGCTTGCTGATCATTATTCTTAGTTAGATTATTATTGTGCTTGCTTGAGATTTTGTGTCAATAAAATAATAAGAGTGAATCATGTCGACTGATTATTCAGTTCTTCTCACACATCTAGGCGAGTCCGCGAGTAGAGAAGGAGGAATAGAGGGAAGCAGCAACCGACAAGCATTACAGGTTCGATTTTTTTTATCTTTTAAAGTACCGTATTTACTCGAATCCAAGCCGCACTTTTCCCCCAATGTTAATGCTACTGAAAATCGAGCGAGAATCGAAGAGAGAAAAAATTGGTTGAAAGGGTATTTAGACCAATTATATACAGCTTCATGCATGTATTTAAAAGTTTTTAATATTGAAAAAAATAATTCATTATTTACTTCTTATTAGTTTCCCTTTTAAATTTATTTAATTTCGTAAAATTGGATATCAATAAACCATTTTAGACTTTTTTAATTTTCTTCTCAAAATCTTGTTCAGAATTTGGAGCATGGCTTAGAATCAATGGCGGCTTAGATTCTAGTAAATACGATATTTTGAACTTTCGTATGATGGAATGATTATTAGGTCTCAGTGAAAGCGGTCACCCCAAAATGTCTTCGCGGTCTACCGGTCGATCGCGATCGACTTAATGCTTATCCCGGCTGTAAAGCCTCAAATCTGTAATATAGTTGGAGGCCACCTTATAACAAAGACCATTGCTAGGCTAAGAATAAGTCATCACAGAGGAATGAAGTTTGATAGGGATGGTAGAAGAACATTCAGGAATTGTGATAACTATTCAGATATAAAGCTAACACCTGCTCATATTTTTGGCTGTCCAGCTATACTTGCTGCTTTACAAGGAATAGAGGTACTTTTCTTGTCAACAAACTTCTATGTGGACAATATTGCACAGATTATCAAAACAGTCATCTGGGCCTATGGTGCTTTGTGATTTATCCCGTCATGGATACGGCATCATCATCTTCAATTTTATCCCTTTTATGCGTATCCGAAGAACTATATTAGTTTTTCGTTTATCTCGTTTAATTACTACGTTACAGGACAGGAGCATATAGTAACTGGCTACGCGCAGAACTGTGCCTTTGGAAAGACGTGTAAATGGAATCTTTTTTTTTTTATATTTAGTGTGACTTGAATTAGAATATACACATAAAAGTGTTTTACGAATATTATGATGAGAAAAAAATTTTTAAGTGCATTATTTTGGCAAAGAATGAGGAAAAAATATTAATTTCAAAACATTTTTTTAATGAAAACTGCTTCGATAATAATAATTTGCCTATATGTAGCTAGGAGTTTTGCACAGAGGATGAACTAGGATTTGTGATATATGTATAATTTAGAAGTTCATTTATTCGTATTTTAATACATCAGAGAGTTGAGAAATTTAAGCAAAAGCACATCTTTATATTATTTCAATTGGAAAAAAACTCTGAAAATGATATGATTGCTTTAAGAAATTCTAGTTCAACCCCTGTATAGAAGCACTAGCTGTATGTATGCAAAATATTACTATTATAGTAGGAGCATTTTCTATTAAAAAATAATGTTTTAAAAATATGTTTTTCACCAAAAAAAAATTTTTAATATTTTTTCCCCCTTATAATAGTACGTTTAAGCAATTTTATATGTAAATTCGGACACTAAATATAAAAACAAATATTTCTTTATACGCTTTTGCAAAATTATGGTTCTTAAGATACTCCCTTAAAATGCTAAATTCTTTGGCATACCAGGTAAAATCAGAATGAATTCTTAACTCTTCTTGAGCATTTCTGCCCACACAAACTGTTTATTGACAATTCCACGGACACTGTGGTATATAGGGATTCAAAAACAGTTAAAATAGGGAAAAAACGAATGTATGTTCCAGTTAACAATTATCTTAAAACTATTCTAGTTACTAATTATTAATAAACGTTCTCTGACAAAATAAACCAAAAATGTTCGTATTTTAAACTAATTCATGTTTACCATTAACATATTTAACATCTGGGTTTAATCATTCCAAGAGAGAGATATATTTCTACACAACAATCACAGCATATCCCCTAGTGGTTAAAAACATAATCAAAGAAAGGAGAAACAAACCTCATTTGAAATTTAAATGCGGCTGTAACAAACAACAATTCGCTTAGAGCCATTAAAAACTAAATGAAGAAAAAAAGTATAGCAATTGTACAAATTTAATTAAATTAATTTACCCAGGCATAAACAGACTTTAATAAGGTATGGAATAACGCAGATAAGTTAATTTCCAGAATTAATATTAAGATTTAAAAGAGTGGATATTGAAAGAGAGCTTATTCAATTTTAACTTTGACATTTTCTAAACGAAACTAATTAATTAATTGGAAAAATAAACTATTGAATAATAGATAATTTGAAAAGAGCCAAATTACTTTAATTAGTTGATATTAGTTTTCCGTAATTAGCATATCACGCTCATTAATGTTTCTGCAGAGTCAGGAATAGTTGGATAAAATAAATTGCTTTTCCAACAGAGGGTATTTTAAAGTATTAATTTTAATGCGAAATCTCTCCCAGTACATAAAAATGCAAAATAATCCAATTAAGGCTGCAAGAAAGCTTTAAAGTGAGTGAAGATGTAAAAAGATCTTTTGTCTGAAATAGTAGCGTAGAGTAATCGAGTTGGGATTCTACCTTCATTATCATAATTATAGGAAATTTTTCACAATTCCTACTCTCTATTGCTCTCTCTATATTATTAGTTCACTCTCTCCCTATACATATATATATATATATATATATATCTTGTTCCAATATTCAATCATTAATAAAGTACAGGATAGCCATAATTAAACTGCAAGTGTTCAAGGGTTGCTGGAAGGAAAACCACTGGGAACATTCCAGTGAAATTCGGTATCTACACGTTTCAGAACATGCGCAAGTCAAACATGGAAAGCAAAGAATCGACATTTTTACCTGATAGATGGCGCTGCACCGTATATCAACGCTCACCAGTGGCATATACAGCTTCCAAAACCGATAGACAGAGCATAATGATATTCTAAGAGGCAAAAGTGTCATCAATTTGTTGCGCCGCTGTTGCTACTACGAGAATATGGGTAGCAATAGCGGCGCAATTGCTACCTGCAATAGTACCACAATTGCTACACGGGGTTCAGTCACGTTTAACGGGACGCCGCCATCTTGTGCCTGGAATAATGCCCAATATTCTCCTGTTTCTTCGAATTTATAAATCCTATTTTTCAATCCATTGACACACACTCATTGGACCTCTTCTTAATCGTTTTATACGCTGGTATTCTTTCAGAGTAACTGAATAATTGCTACCATTCTGATAGAATATCTTTACTAACAATTCGCGTTCCTTCTTATTCAGAGTCATGATTGACCATTACTCAATGTGGTCTTGTTTTTATACAGCTCGATGGGCTTAAAATTTGCATATATGCCGTTGATAAGCATTAAAACACGGCACAACGCCATCTATCGGGTGAAAATAGCGATTTTTTTCCTTGCATATTTGACTTGGGCATGTTCTGATACCGAATTTCACCATAATATTCCCAGTGGTTTTCTCTCCAGGACCTCTTGAACACTAGTATTTTAATTATGGCCACTCTGTATTTCTATTCATCCATTCAAGTTCAAATGCATTTCTTAAAACTTGTAGTGAATGACACTTGATGTTAATACAGTTTTTTCCAATTTTTTATTAATTTAATTTAATTAATTACCGGCTTCGACGCCAACTTAAATTCGTCTCCATTGTTGAAACAATGTAACTGTTAAAACAATGACAAAAGTTGGCGTCGAAAACCGGTTTTCAGCAAAGCTAGCAAAACCGTGTTTGCATTGTAACACCAATGTACACAAATCCCACAAAATGCTCTTTTTTTCAATTCCTACTATTTTAGTTCACTCTGTCCCTATATATATAAAATCGTTCGTTGTGTCCCGTAGAGCAATGGATAGTGCGTTGGACGTCTAATCCAAAGATCGTGGGCTCGAATTCCACCTGGGATGACCTAGTTTCTAAAAATGTTATTTCTTTTTACTATACTATTTTATTGGAATAATTGAATTTGAATAAATAGTAAAAAAAAAAAAATTTAAACCATATATAGAAAGGAAAATGGAAATTTGCAAGGTAAATCGCTTTCTATTTTGTCACAATATATTGCGATTCTGTCAAATGTATGTACATTTTATATATATATATATCAATTGTAACTATTTAATAAAAAGTTACTAAAATAAAAATTTTCTTTTCTGTTAAGTAAGTTTTGACTTAAAAATTTATTTTTATATTACTTGTTATAGTTTAAGAATGGCAGGAAATTTCCCTTTTTGAACGTATTCAAAAATATCCACTACAAGAGTTTACGCACGACATATAAGATAGGACAATAAAATTTGGTAAGTGTATACAAACGAGACATTCTTATTTAATTCATAAAAAGTGGTTTTCATTCTTTCGAAGTATTGTTCTCCAATTCTTATGTATTTTTGACAACAACTGAACTGTTCCTGGAAACTACGGCGAAATCCTCCACTGTATTGCTAGAACATCCTCTTTATTGTTTGAATGCTTGAAATATAATACAATTATTCTTCCCTTCCTATTCTTATCTTTTCAGAGCTTTTCTCCTGAGCGGAAACAAAAAAAAAGTTTGCTGGAGAAAAATTAGAAGAATACGGTGGATGAACAAAGTATATAGATCCTTTATCGGTTGTGTATTGTTTTAGGATAAAGGTAGAATGGGGGGGAGGGGTATTAACCCTCTTGATGCGCATCCCTCAATTTTCACGGGCAACGTAGATGCACTAAAATTTGCGCAACCCGCGATTTCTTGCGGGTATGCATTTTTTCCGATTTTTTAACTGTGCAACCCTTTCTGTTCATATTTATCGCTTTTGCTTATATGTTCATATTATTTTTATGATCTATGTCTACATTTTAAAATAAAAACGTTTTTACAAAAATTCTTCTGCATATTTTAATTCTAAAATGTAGATTTAATATGTAGATTTGAAATACCTAATAAAAAAAATACGCAATTTTTTAACCTATTTTGATAAAATAAATTCGCAGCGATAGGGTTAACATGAAAAAAGTACTAAGAAACCACACCGACATATTCTGGACAAATACGGGGACAACGCTTATTGCGTCGCAACAAATGCCTGATTATAAAACATTTCTTCCATAAAACAACAATGAAGAACCAACATTCAATGTTTTGGTTCTTTAACTGCAAAGGATCTAGAAAGCGCCCCTGCGGAATCTTGGTATCTCTATTATAGTGCCAGCTCACATTCGACTCTCTCTCTCTCTTTTGACCTGAAATGTTCCAGGCCAATTAGGGAGGTATATGCTTTATGCATCCACCGTCCTCACTTGATCTTTCTCCAGTAGACTTCTTTCTGCTTCCGTGCATGAAATAAGCTTTGAAAGGAGAGTCTTTTTTTAATATTCTGGGCTCATTTAAAGAAAAATTCATTTGCAGGTTTCAGGAATTGTACAGTTGTCAAATGTGTATAACAATCACCGAACATAGCTGTAAATCCCTTTTTCTTATTTAAGAAGAAATCTCTCGTTTATGGGCACACCCACCAACTATATTATCATACTTTGTATTTTACTTCTGAATGATTGTACTCAATTGTAAATCAAAATAATTTAAGTACTGATAGTTTTGTAAGACAAACGCTTCATTTCAAGAAAAGTGATAGCATTAAGTGATAGATTGTTTTGAAATTCATTGAAAGTTAATATATAAAAGTTAGTTCAAATAAATATGTGAGGTTTAAGTTTTAAATATAAATTTTATAATTTCTTTTCAATTTTTAAATATTTTCACTTTCCAACTTTTCTGGAAATCTTACAAAAACCTCCAGAGTGGAACATCTTTCCTGGTGAAGGTAGCTTTTCAGAACATTTCCCAAAATAATTCCAGCACTGCATTAGTGCAAAGTTCTCTTATATTATAAAAATAGTACACATAAACTAGAATACTTTGGAAAACTTAAGAGGACACGGTACGATTCATCTGACAAAAATCGGTCAAAAAATCAAATCTAATTTCCTCAGCCTAAATTATTCTTTATACACTGCTGGCCACCGTAAATGCAACACCTTGAAGAAGCACGCAAATAACATGAAATTTACAACATGCATTAGCGGAGGTGAGATATGCAAATGATTAGAGTTTCAGCGCAGACACACGTCACGCACGCCTGTGGCGCCACCTCAAAGTGCTATTTAAGGCTTGGAGATTTCAACGATTTGAAGATCGCAATTGTGTTTTTCTGGTGGTTTTTTCACAAAACGATCAGTTATGTCTCGTAGAAAACAGCGATCAGCTTTTGATCAAGTATCCGAGTTCAACCGAGGAAGGATAGTGGCCTACCGAGATTGTGGATTATTTTTCACGGAAATTGGTAGTCTTGTTGGACGAAACCAAACAACTGTAATGCGGATATGGGACCATTGGATGCAGGAGGGTATGACGGACCGACGTGGTCAATCGCATCCACCTCAGTGCACCACTTCATGTGAGGACAGGCAAATTGTGCGCATGGCAGTGACGGATCGTTCAGTCACATCACGATTAAGAGCACAGCACATTGAGTCTGTAACGCATCATTTAGTGTCTGTGCATACCAGTCGACGCCGTTTACAGCAGAGTGGTCTGTCCGCAAGACGTCCATTGCTTGGCTTACCCTTGACGCAGAGCTACGGACGTCTCCGCCGCCAATGGTGTGATGAAAGAATGATGTGGGCGGCTAAAAGGAATGAAGTTGTCTTTACTGACGAGTCACGCATCTTTCTGCAACACTACGATGGTCAGATTCGAGTCTGGAGACACCATGGAGAGAGGATGCTGAACAGCTACGTTTATGCACCGCCACACTGGTCCTGCACCGGGTATTATGGTAAGGCGCGGTATTGGATATCACTCTCGCACTCCTCTAGTACGCATTGCCGGTACTTTAAACAGCCAGCGCTACATCTCTGAGGTGTTGGAGCCAGTTGTCCTTCCTTACCTTCAGGACCTGGCCACAGCCATATTTCAACAGGATAATGCGCGACCACACGTGGCACGCATTGTACAAAGGTTCTTCGTCAATCACCAGATTGAATTGCTTCCCTGGCTGGCTCGCTCTCCGGATCTTTCGCCGATAGAAAACATGTGGTCCATGGTTGCTCAACGATTGACCCAGATTACACCCCCAGCTGCCACACCAGATCCACTTTGGCAACGTGGGGAAGCTGCTTGGTCTGCTGTACCCTAAGAACACATCCAAAGTCTCTTTGAATCAATACCGAGGCGTGTGGCAGCGGTGATCTCCAACAATAGCGGCTACTCTGGCTACTGATTCTGGCAGGAACCACACTTCACAGAAGTCTATAAAGTTAATCATTTGATACTTGGTCAACATGTTATCTACAAAATAAATTTTGTTGTGCTATCTCTTGTCTTTCTTGGTGTTGCATTTACGGTGGCCAGCAGTGTATATTTTTCTATAACCTCACAAAGTTTGAAACCTCTAAACTTACAAAACGTAGAATTATGACAGCTTTTACGTTAGTTTTTATTCACATTCCTATGGCAAATCAAAACTTTAAACTTACTTATCTCAGAAAGATAAAATAACGAGTTTGTCTTCATTTGCAATGCTAAGGCGTTTTTTCTATTGTTCCTAATGCTTTGATTTTTTTTACCTATTGCTAATAGTGCATGTAACAAAAGTTGGTATGTATTTTTGAATCAAAGCAATACTTATTTTTTTTAAAAAAATGACTGAACTCGGGATTTATAAATTTTTTAAGGAATTTTCAATAAGCATTCATAAGAAAAAGTATTGTATGTATACCAATCATGCTATCGTAAAACCCAAATCAACTGTTGTCATACATGGTTTGATGTACTTGGCAGTCAAATTTCATGTGTGTACGTAAATTTTTGTAGGAGAAGTAGCATTGTAAAATCACTTCAAAAAATTTAAGTGTTTTTCCTTAAAAAATAAATGGTTAGCTTTTATGAAATTTTGGGCGCAAAATCTGTTTTACATAGTATGCACACATAGGAGGCAACCAAAAAAATTTTGAAAATCCTTAAATAAAATTTTTTGCTTAAATCGTACCATGTCCCCTTAATATCGAATAATATAAATCACTTACGTAAGAAATTCTGCTGTAACACTGCATAAAATAAGTTTTCTTGAAATAGACTTTTGTTATAAGTACATCAACGACTTATTTTATAAAAATACGATAGTAAAGAATACAGATTCCAGTAATCGAGTGGTCAGGGTCACAAACTCCGGCCATGATCACGTCATGGCATTGTCGAATCGTAAGTTCGAATCCTCGTGCCACTGAAAACTAGAGAGAGTCACTGAAGAGCCACACAGTATAGAGGGGTTGTGCACGTTAAATTTGTAGAAGGTTGAAATCCCCACGTTGTCGTGACTGAGTGGGTGTTTATTAACGTCGCACTCTAAAGAAACACGAGAGCTATTGGCGATGGACATCGTAATTTGGAACCTTTTTACTTCGCAGGATCAAGTGTAGAGCTAGTAATCCTTTCTTCAAAGTACCACACCACACCAACGGTATTACGCTTGAGCCCTGAGATATTTACGGACATCAGCCCTTTTACAGGGTGGGTATTCAGTGACACTAGGCTCGAACTCATGACATGACGGCCACGGATCGTGACCATAGCCACTATTCAACTGTGGCTACCTCCCATTGCTGTAATGTGGATTGATTGATTGATAATTAACATCGCACTGCCCTGCTACATTAGGGCTTTTGGCGACAGACCTCGTAATTTTGAACCATGGTCAAGTAACGAGGATGACACCTCCTCTCCTTACTACTACACCAATGGGAGGACGTTTGAGCTCTCGACAGATTTAACGTGCATCGCTCCTCTACACGTCGAGTCTTCAGTGGTACTGGACTCGAACACATGACACGACAGCCATGATCCGATATCTTGACTACTTAGCTA